CTGAGACCTAGAAAGAGGAGTCCAGTTTTGTATTTAGCATGCGATCTGTCTTTCCTCCATCTTCTGAGGTTTAGCATCTCTTATTCAAATTACAAAAAGCTTCTGATTTCATTTCCCGTACTCCTTACTCATATTTCTCAAGTAGCATCTTTTTTCAATTCCAACACAGTTCTCTGACTAATATATGATTGTATTTTGAGAGATTGATAGGGAATACTTGACCTTGAAGCAAGTGTAGAGACCCATGATTTCTAGATAATTTCTTTATATCATGCCCTTTAGAATGAGATTTTCCATGTCTTCCAAGTTTCTTCATCACCTTTTTTTTTTTCTCTGTACTGATGACAACCCTATTAATGTGATAATTCTTTAAAATATGTCACATTGCCTCTCTGTATTTAATCTTCCATTGAGCTTAATTCCTTACTTTCATAGTTTTCTTGGGTGCTTTAGTACAGGGTCTCTTAGCTGTTTCCTTAGACCTTTTAGAAGCTAAACCAGGAAAAATAATTCAGACAACAGCATTGCCTCTCTACAGTGAGACTTACACATTGAGTGTATATTGCCTTTTTCCAAATTGATTTCAGGCCTGTTTCTACTTACTTTGCTTCAAGATACCAAACAAATCTGCTTCTTGTAGGTCTGTCACTAGCTGAAGGAAAATCCCATCTGTGCTTGTGTTATAAAGCAGTATGTTGTAACACATTATGATTAGAAAGTGCCAGGAAGAGCTAGAGGTGGAGCAGGGTAAGTGAAAGACTAATCTGTCCCTCTGGAAAGGAAAAATGATGCTCTGTGCAAGACCAGCTGGACACTCTCTGACAAGACTCACGGTTATATATATGCATATATTACTGAGACTCAGGGAACAGCTGGAGGTTTTGGGAGGTGTTAACAGAGAACTTGATCTCGCTGTACCTTGATTGCTCTAAGCACAAATCATGGGCTTTGCTATTATCAAATACCACACCAACTGTGCAGCTCATTAACAGTCACTATCATGGTCCCGTATCATCATTTGACACAAGTGGCAGAACGCACCCCTGAGGCCACTGTTTTGTTCAAATTTGGATGCTTCACCCAGGATTAAAATAACGTGAACTTATGCAAACCTGGAGGCCCAGGTTCCTATAGGTCAGAAGTAGAGTAGTTCAGTAGTGACAAGTGCATCTTAATGACGGTCTGTCCTCCAACCAACTCTATACTTATCCTCAAAGCATTATTACATTTCAGTGCCATGTCACAAACTGCGTGGCTACAAAATAGTCACTAAGGGTACCATGCCATCAGAAAGCCTTGTAACAAACTGTACAGGCCCAAATCAGTCAAAGCACCATCAACTTTCAGAAGCAAAGGCAAGCTCCCTTTTTTAGGGTCTGACTCAAAGTTGATAACTATAACTAGGATATATATAGACTAGTTGCAGGTATTCAGTGTATGCCCAGGAAATTCTCTGGCCTGTGTCTGTTTTAATGGTAGTTAGTTAGTCATTCATTTGCCTGCCAGAATAGACTTCAACTTTCATATGTTGTCTTTTTTTTATTACCACTGTATTTATAGGGCAGAATGTATACACACTTTGTCATTTTAGAGGACTCAATGAAAATATCTCAACTAGATAGTGATAAATAATAATTGGCTACAGTTAAAGCATTCGGCAAAGATAAATTGGTTCTGACTCCATTTCGATTGAAAAGAATCAAAGCTGGAATAATCTGGTCAAAGCCATGTAAAAGTATTTTGCCTTCAAGTACCAAATTTATCTGTGGACAGTAGTGACTTGCTGTGTGACAAGACAGAGATTAGAAAATGGTCTTTCAGCACAGATTTTTAGCATCTGAAATCAGACAATATTTGTGTTTATTGAAGAAATATTTGTTTTTGTTATAATGTGTCCTGCAGCAGTGTTTTATAGCTTGGCTAGCATCCATAAGGGTAAGTTGTGTTCTGTAGTGAAATTGTGTACCTTAGTTTTGGTGCATTGAGTTTTAGTCCATTCCTACTTTCCTAAAAGACTGGTAAAACTAGACTGAAAATTTTCACTATTTCTATTGGTAAATGGATGTCTGCACATATATAACAGTTATTCAACTACTTGCAGATCTGTTATTAATTTTGGACAGTTTGTCACTTCTGTATTTGCTGGCTACAGGCTTCTACTTCAGAACACATCCACCAATAATCTTGAGGTAATTTTCTTCTGAGTGACCTGGGGCTTGAGTCTTTTTGCATCTGGCACTGCGTATTCTTATCTCATATTTGTAATTCCAGCATTCTTGCTAGGCCTGTGAAACATCTCTACTATTGCCTGACCGTTTAAACGGAGACTATGCAGCCATAAGTTTCCACCACTATATAATTTCTTTTGGATTCTTCCCAGTTGTGCTTTTAAAATGGACCTGTAACTACTTTTGCTGATGTTTCTGAATGTCTTGAGGATCAAGTTAAGTTTACATATTTTCATTCTCCAAGGTTGTCTCAGCTTAGAATTCAGCTATGTACATCAGTAACATCTATACAACATATCTGTGTAGTTTTGGTAATAAGATTAATGGGCCTTAGAGCTCTGGTATGTGGCTGTTAGTAACCTCAGTGATTATAAATACCTAATGATCTCTTCTTCTTTAAGAGTAATACTTAAGCAACTTGACATGCCATTGCACATCTTTTTTTTTTTTTTTTTCTTTTTTTCCCTTCCTTCTTGGTAGACTCTGGGAGTTTATATATTTAGTACTCAGAATAGTTCAGCTGGAACTGATCTACAAAGATCATTAAATCGAACTGCCAGATCAATTCAGGGCTAGCTAGTACTCAGTTGGCCTCCTCATCAATTGGTGCCTGTTGGCCTGTACCTGCACTGAACTATCTATCTTTTGTTTGGTGCTCTGTGTGAAGGGTTTATAAGTATCATATCACAGTTTTAACCTATTTCAGTTGTTACATTTCCTTGCTTCCCAATGACAGAAATAGGACTTCTGTGTTCTTATACCAGAAGGTGAAAGGGCTCTCTGAAAACCCTTGTAGAACACGTATTACAGTCTGAAACAGCTAGCTATACTAATTGACACTGGTGTCAATAAATTAGTAGCTACAGATAACAGCAACAATAGTGTTACTTTTCCATTTTTCCATGTTAGTCTAAATTGCGATTTCTAAATTCTTTATCTGTGTAATTGCATCTGAAATGAAGAATGATTTCCTCATCAATAGTATTTTTCGATCTATGGTATTGCAAAACAATATTTTTTGCTACATCTGTAGTCTTGTGAATACTTAACAATTTAGTACTTTTGCTTACACTACTTGAGTTTTGCTTTGCTTCGCTGCCATTTTTATCATTTTTTAGTCTAGAGAAGACTTTTTCCGTTTCCTTGACTATACTTCATATGTTCATTTTCTTACAGAAAACTGTTGAAATTATATGATGTGAGTCAGTTTGTTCACTTCGAGATGCAATACACCTGTGGACTGAATCCTTCAGAAACATCATGCTATTTTTTAACTGCTTTACTGTAGCTGTGACTATTATTTTCATGGATCATTTTTGTTGTTCCTATGTATGTATTGTATTTGATATGCATATATGCAGGAATATATGTGTGTGTACGTACATATTTGCATTATATATTACCTATCTCATATTTTAATTTTGTTAGATACCTATATTTTCTTTACTTTTTTTCTTCTGGAAACAGTAACTTCTACAGTTTTGCACAATTTCCATGTTCTTGCATGTTCTTCTATTTGCAATTATTGTTACTCATACCATCATCTTGAATTTTATTTATCATTGCATTACAAAACATAAAAAAAGTCATCACTGTAGAATGTACACTTTTGTGATGATCTGTATCGCAATGCTGTGAATGGGATGAAGGTCATATCAAGCCCTGATTTTGCTTCAGAAAATGGAAGGCAAATTGATTTTCAATCTGAGCTTTAGCTCAGATGATTTTGAACTATAGTTGCATTTGAATGCTGACCAGCATAAATATATTCATATTTCAATGTAAAATATTTCTATACAAAATTGGAAACTTTCTGAAGTTTCCAATCTCCCCTTCCATAGCAGTTCCTCCAAAATATTATTGCTTTCCAATTTGTAGGTGAAACTTCTTGTGGTAAATTGCTGTTCAGTAACAAAATATCTGTAGATGATATCAGAATATTCCAAACCTGTAACTGATGGGCTAACAGAGAATGGCTGTGACTTCTGATGGTATTTGCCTTTCAGTTATTGGCTTTAAACTCTGACTTTTGGAGTATACACTCTTACATTGTTAATTAAACATTTCAAATGGTAATAATGAAGATATAATATTAATGGAAAATTAGATATCTAAATTAACAAAACATTCATTAAGTAGTAATTGCAATTTTTTTATTGTTTCAATGCATAGAATAATGAAATAGATCATTATCTTTTATGCTACTTATGATATTGTTATAGTAAATTAAAAAAAAATCTTTGCATGCTGACAATATCTATGTATGGCATTAAATTAGTCTCAGATATGAAAATCTTATCTGCATGAAATGTCATTGGAGTTCGTATTCGTGTATAGAATTTACGTGGGAGCAAATGATATTTATTTTGTGCCTGTTTAGTAAATCTATTTCTCTGGATATCATTTGAGCATGTGATGTCTTGAAGAAAAATAAAACACCCTATCAGGTGCTTCAGTGTTCTATTAATTCAACAATAGCTTTTTGGAAGAGCAAATATTATAAAATTTGCATGTTCTCATGGTCAAGAAGTAGTTAAACTGGTTATCGAAAGCAAGAAAAGAATCACTAAATTCTTCCCAAGACTCAAAATATATTCATCTTTTGCAAAGATAGTAAGGAGAGTATTTTTACCTCTGCTTCCAGCACTAAAATGGAAGGTTTTACATTTACGTAGCTTGGCAGCTCTGTGAACAGCCTTCCCATGTGGAAGGTGCTTGTTTTGCTGATGCTGAGTTCTATTATTTCATATTTGTTTTCTTTTTCTTTCCTAGGGTGATAGGGTTGAAACAACAGGATGAGAGATCTCAAACACGCTACTGAATGTTGTACTCTGACAAAACTAGATGGCTTCCTTTATCAAGACAGCTGTGTTTTTAAATAAATAATCTTAATATGGCCAGCAGAAGGATTATGCCTGATACTCAAATGTACTACCTTGAAAGGTTGCCTTGACTTCCTCAAGGAGTTTAAATTAAGGCATTCAGGATGCCAGACCAGAAGGCCTCACAGACTGAGGTATGTTTGTTTACTACTTAGGAAACTGAGATTGCAGTGAAAAGGACAGCTTCCAAAATAGCAAAGTTACTGCTACTAACAAAATAAACTTAAAATAAATATTACTGAATAGACTGCTTCATTTTGACAGTTTTTTTGTCCCTACTATGGATCACAGAGAACAGTTAAACTGTGTTAAATTGGGCTTCAGTTAGATAGATCCTTGTCACTGGTAAGTGGCTTCCCATGGATGCCATTAGGATTGTTTGTAGAAGCAAGACAAGACTGGGCTGGTAAGTAACTCACAAGTTATATGCAACTCTGCAACTTGTGGCAGTTTTATTTTAACAATTGATGATAGATAATATGGCCAGTTCTTGAAGCTGTCCTGTTTACTGAAGATTTACATGAAAATTATTACTTTATACTTTCATTTCAAGCTCTTTATCAGATAAAAGTGAGATATGAAGTAAGAAGCAGATCTCTTGCTATCTATAGAAATATATGATTTTGCTTTGTACTTTTATGCTGATCAATATATACAAATGAAATTTCATGTCATTAAAAATTTTGGAGATATTTTTAAAGGTCTAATTGCAAAAAAAAAAAAAAAAAAAAAAATTGGTTGATTATATGCTCGTGACTACAGACTGATAAAGTCTGTAGATCCATGCAGACCCATACTCTATGAAGTAGCTAAGATGCACAGAAATGAGATGGTTGGACTAGATGATCTTATAGGTCGTTTCCAACCTTGTAATTCTATGATTCTATGAAATAAAGTTTTAGCAATAGAATTCATAGATGATTGTCAGCAACACTGATGCTTTGATTTTATATGGCTTTGAAAGCTGTTTGAGGCCAACACTTTAACTTCAGACTGAAGAGCGCCAAACCATAAAGTAAGGAAAGTTTTTAATTTGGTGATCTTGTGCAGAACGGAGAAGCTCACAGTAACTTGTTCAAGCTTTCCCACTTGCAAGTTCAGATTGAACATGGATAAAGAGAATTTAAGAACAGCAGTCAGACAGATTTTGTTGTTTCTGATTACTTTGGGTTTTTGTTTGTTTGTTAGTGGCTTTGTTGTCATTTTTTTTAACACTGCACAAAAGTTAACAGGAAAAGGAATATGAACAGTAACTGGATACTAAAGTAGCAGTTCTGAAGCCTTGTCTGTCTTTGCTTCTCTGTGTATGCAATATCACCAAGAAAAAAAAACCCATTTTTTTACATTCTGAAGCACACTTGTGTTTGTTATTCGAGCCAAATTGCTAATCCACTTGATGAAATAATCTTTTTTCAGTCTTAGTGCTTTACATTTCCTGGAATATTGTATTTTTATGGCAAGAAGCAGAAAGGAAGCTGTTTTACGCTTGTAAACCGTTCAGTATCTTGTCTCCTTTTGTGTAATGAAACAAAAATATTCTGAAAGAACTTCAAAAAGCCATGGCTAATATCTCAAAAACAAAATGCTGAAATCAAGCCTTCCACAGCAACTAATATGAAATCAGAAAGCATGTTTAATATTTTATGCAGAGTCAGAGATAGCTGGGGCAGATATGTAGTGGTTTATTTTGTGCGCCATCATTTATGTTGCCTGATATACATCTGCAGCCCTCCTGCTTGGGTAAGGTTTTGTTTGTTCGGACCTGTGCACATCTACAGGATTTTGTGAAACAAAGAAATGGACGTTCTGCCACCCTCTGAAAAGATTTCTTTGTTTTACATTCTGCCACCCTCTGAAAAGAAGCCTTGCTAAACTTAACTGTATATCTCTCCTTACTGAAGAGCCTTGTGTTGAATAAGACCCATCATCATGTAACTGAAGGTTTTGCAGGATGAATCCATACCTAATATCAGAAGTACTGTAGTATATCCAAGATTATATGTTTTATTATTTGTTATCATAAATATTCTACAGTGAAAACCCAGGGCCTCTTTCTGAAGGACCTGAAGATGGGAAGGAAATCTAAAACACTTTCACAGTCAGAGAAGAGCTCTTCGGGGAGAAAATATCTTAGTGTCATGGGGTTTTTTTTGTTTGTTTGTTTGTTTTTTTTCTCGTAAAAGAGGGAGAAATTTGCTTCTGAACTGAAACTTGTGAAGAAATGTATATCCTTTAATAGGAATTATTCATAGCTTTTCTTCAAATAGTTAGTTTGTTCTTCCAATGAATATACATTCTGGAATCTATCTTTTCTCAAAATAATGTCCCCAAGTTGTTAGAAGTTCAAGTATTGTTTTCATATTTCTCATGAGGTTTCAAAACAGCTCGGTTTCCATTTCACATCTGGGTGAAATGGAAAAAGTGTTCTCTTGCATATTCAAAAGTGTATCTGTTTATTTTGTCTAACTGCTTTAATATAAAAAAATTATATGATTGCTGTAGGGCAAAAGAGTAACAAGCCTCACTGCAGTGAGCAGAAAATATATGCATAGCCTATCAGTTTTCCTCTATATTTTGCATTCCTTCTTAGGAAGACTGGGCAATGAAATCAAAGGCTATTGAAACCACAGATGCTTATGGAATCCCTCCTGTAGCCTGGCCTTGCATGGCTTGATTTGGGTTTTCCTCTTCAAACTTCCAAGTTCACCCACCCTGAAGATCTGTGAACTAAAATTTTCAACCTTCTGTTAATTAAGTTGATAGCTGTTGCCCTGTAAATTTGGGTATTTGTCTCTGGATTGATGTTTGAAACAGAACTAAAGTGCTGTTTTCTGAAGCATTGTCACTGAAAAGCAGAATCTTCCTAATGTTGCCCTTAATGTGAATTTTCCCTATGTGTATTAAAATGTTGAAAATAAGTAACTGCCAAAATTTCAATTACTTTCATGGGAAACATCTAATTTTTCTGCTGCAGCTTTTTTCACAATGCAAGAAATAATGAATTTAGCTCAATGCCGGGCTTTTAAGAAGCGATTAGTACACTTATTAACCTCGGTGCTCACAACAGAAATAGTTGAATTCTTCTAATCCTCCTCTATCATATTAGATTTTGAAGAAAATATTTTTGCATCTCCTTATCATTGTCATTTGATGGGATATCTCTAAGATAATTAGGTTTTTTTTTTTCTGCCACTGCATTAAGAAAAATAACTTCAATTTGTTGGAATCCTATCAGGTCAGATTCACACTTTTGCTTACATAAAGTGGTAACCCTGCCTGCTGGTTTCCATCATCAGTTCTCAGTAAGATTTCTGCTAAATAATAAAGGTAAGCTAATGATGGTATGCAATCAGATCTAACACTTTTCTTCAAGCTGGTTATTACTAGGTTTGAGTTCATGTTACAAAACATCCAGCATAATTAATGCAAGTCAATGTGGTAAAACTAATTTAATATGAGCAACAACATGCTTTATAACTGGACAGTGGTAAGATCTTATACTTTGCAAACGATCACAGAGTTGGATTCCTTCACTGTTAGACATTTCTTTGGCTAATATCAATGCTTATGTAATGAAAAAGGAAATTGGAATGTGAATAGGTGAATTCATATCTCATTATTTAATTTTGTTAGTGAACAGCTCAAAATATTTTGCAGATTCATCTGGGAATCAAAAGGAGATAATAACTCATAAAATGAACAGTTACTTCCTGCCAGATATTTAATGTCTTTTTAAGAATACAGATCAACCTAGTTTTGAAAACCCACATAGCTTCTAAACGCTTCATACAGTAATATACATGAGTGTCAGATTTAACTACTTGTCTCCCCAGTAGTCGTGATATGATTTATTTTCTCCAAATGTTGTTTGGAAGTTATGGAGTAAGTGGAGTTAAACTAGTGCCAATCTTTGGTTGACTGCTGCTGCCAGAAATGGTCAGCTCTGTTGGTAATGTTTTAGCAGCATGGAAAGACCTAAGTAATTGCAATGTGGCTAAATAGAGGCTACTCAGTTCTCAGGACTTTTATTTCAATTCTTCCCTAACAAGTAAGGTGATTCAAGGTATTTTCCTCAAGTCTGTCTTTTTCTGTATTTTCCCATCAGTCTTGGACCCCATATCATTTAGCATGAATCATCATAACATAAAATTAATCCACACTGTGCTTGCTTACAGAATGTAAGACTTTTATTTCAGAATGTATAGGAATGTGGAATGTCTCTGAGAATAGAAGCAACGGATCTGTTTAAACTAGCTTGGTGGTGCCACATTCAACTAGCACTAGGATGGACCTGAGGCAGCCACAGCCCCCTGTTCTGACAAATGACCCATTTTGGCAAAGCTGTCCCCCTTGCAGTCCATCCATCCTGAATTCCTCATAATGTTGGAGCGGAAAGCAATCACCAGGCTGACTTGAGGCAAGGGAAGATCACAGCCTGGTAGTGACAGCGAGATACTACGTTTCAGGAACTCTCAGTTCTGCTCTTTGTCACCATTTCTTTGATCTCCCTGAGCAAGATAGGCATGAGGTGTTCTAATGTCATGGTGCCCACAGGCTTCACGAACTCCTTTCTAGCTCTGCAGTCACTGTATTAAAAAAATATGTCACTGTACTGGTGGGACACTGACATCAGATTTATTTTTTTTTTGGCACTCTTCAGGAAGGACTTCTGCTTCAGTACTTGGCATCTGCGTCAGTACTTCTTCATTCCTCTTATCTCCTAGTGGGTTTTTGATTATTTATTTGTTTTCAGAAACCTTATCTCTCCTTTTTGTTGTTGAAGAAAATTTTTCTCTATTATCTGTGGCTTCACTGTTGCTCTTCTGAACAGTACAGTCACAAAAGCATACAGAGTGCACAACCAATGGCAAGTTATCTTGTGCCTAAATTTGGTAGGTTTTTTTTTTTTTTTAAGTTTTCCCAGAAGAGCTGAACTGTTGCTATGCATAGTTTTTAAAATAGAAATGTGAGGGGTTTATTATTTTTAATCCTTCTTGTATCAAATATAAAAATCAAAGACAAAATCATTGTTCTCATTCTGTCAAAATGTAGATCATCTCAACACTCAAACAGCCATTAGTTTTCCATAGCATCAATTTATTTTAATATAATGCTTCATTTTGCTGGAATGCAGACAAATAAATAATAGGAGACTTGAACTGAGTCTAAAAGCATTACTATAGGCAATGCTCAATGTCACTGTTCTACATTTAATGCCTGACTTCAGATCTCTTGGGATTTGTATAACTTTTGAATACTTGTTTCCAAAAACAAAAAATTATCGTTTTAAATTCTACTGTATTAAAAAAAAGAAAAAAAAATGAGAGAGAGAGAAATTGAGGCTGAGAAAGGAAGAATCTGATCTTTGAAGTTACAGTATTTAGGAGTGCAGAATTTAATTATTTTTTTCTTTTTGGTGTATCTGTGAAAGTCATGAATGTGGGATGTTAACATTTACTCATGAGGTTCTGAAGTGTTATTCCAGCTAAACCACAGTATCCAGATATAAGTGAGCTGCTTTTTAGAGTTCACAGGATGCTGATATTAGCTTCATTTTTTTTAAGGCAGGCTACATTAGCACAACTGGTATCTTAAAAATATGGCGCTGATCACAGATTTAATATATTTTTAAAATTTTTATAATTTTGAGATACTTTCCATGTCATTTGGCCATCTGTAGGTATCAAGGGTACATTACTTTTTTGAGAAATGAAATAAAGACACTGAAAAAAAGATAGCAAAACAAACAGAAGCAGCCCACTTTAAAGGTTTTCTTAATTTCAAATGAACAGTGTCTACTTCTGCAAAAATATTGAAATGTTGAAAAATCACTTGCTGTGGCTGAGTATTGAAACTGCCTGTGTCAGCTCTCCTCACAAAGCTCTGGATGAGCTCTGTGCTGGAGAATTCTAAGCAGAAACAAAGATTTCTTGTGGCTACAGAAGGCTGCACAAAACTTAGTTTTATCCCAAGAGAATTTGCCAGAAATTTCAGGGGAGGAAAAAAAAAAAAAAGAGCATGCTATCAAAATTATTCCATTCTTAAACCATTTACAACCAGCTTAATTATCAGCTGAATTATTGTAACAATCAGGAGTCTGGGTATTTTGTATACCAAAATTGAGACCCTGATGATATCAGGTGGTAGAAGAGGTTGTGATTTTGCCTTCCATCAATATTTGAGTAGACTCGGTCCAATCCTGATGCACAGAGTGACTTATGATCTCACCACACAGTACCTCTGACCATTTCAAATAACCTGTCATCATATAACATTCTCCTGTCAGCAATGAAATTTCTCACGTTAAACATCTGCTGTATTTTCAGATAGTTCTTTCGTGAGATATAATAAGGGAAAACAAAGAAAGCAGTCAATTTGCAAAGAGAAATGCAGCCATTTACCAAGTAGCCATTTAGAAATAGTTTTCCTAGGTTCCATACCATCAGAAATGTTTACTTTGGATTTTGGAATAGTTGAAACAGATCTGCCCTTTGCAGGCATAAATGTAAGAGTGGCACATACAGTTGCAGCAACAGCTTCTAGTTCAGCTTTCTGTCTCTGATAAGGACCTTTATCAGCTGCTTCAAAAAAGGTTGCAGAATGAACTGCCCACAGAAATGTTCTTCTTGACCCACGTTAGCTAGATGTTCATAAGTGCCTTGAAACCTAAGTCCCTCCATGAATTCCTGCGGGCTTTAAGAAATGCTTATTTTGGATGTACTTGCTACTCATGAATATCCAAAACTTTTTTGAGTCGTTCTGGACTCTTGACCTAAATGGTACTTTGTGGCACGAATCTCAGGCTGATTGCATGTTCTGGGTAATTATTTCATTCATATTCCCTTCACCACTCCACAATTTGGAATCAAAGTTTAGGGTAAGCAGCTACTGTACATGCCAGCTCTATGTTGATTTCATTTCTTTTAAAGTAAAAGAGAATCACCAAGGTCATCATTATGAAGAAAATTACCTAAGAAAGAAAAGATCTCATTCAATAGTCAATACAACTAAGAATTATTATTATTATTATTTTAATGCAAGTGATCCTTGTAGAGCATTCTAACATTAGAAATGAAGACAATGAAGGAAAAATCTGGCCAAGTACAGAAAATGATGCATTTGGATTATGAATGTGATACAGAAGCAAAATATTGCATCTCTTTGCCATGTGTTTTGAGCTAGTAGAAGAAGCATCTAATATTTAATGTTTGCTTTAGGTAATTTACAGAGAAAAAAATATCCCTGCTTAGCTTTGGTGCACAAATCTCCTCTATTCTGAAAGCTCTGAAACCTTCCTGAACAACTCCAGTGTTTTACATCCAAACTGAATCTTTTGAAGTCTTAGGAACTAAGTATTGTACTAAACTGTAAATGAAGTAAGAAGTGGTAGATAGAGTATACACAGTGTAGGGCATAAATACATTATAATCAACATAAAAACAAGAATAACACTTTTTTGTGCTTTTATATTGAAGATTTTCACAAATATTATTTATGGATATTTTTGCTTAGCAAATGTGAAATATTTGGCATGCGAGAGCTTTGTTTGCTACAATGGTCTTCCATATCCACATTCCTGTCTCTTTTGGAGGTTGACTTTGCCTCAACATCTACAGAAAGCAACTGATATAGTTACTGCTCGGGAGGAGAGAGTCCACACAGGGCATTTCTTCAGTGCCACACCAGCAGGTAGATTTTTCTTGTGATAAAATGCAGCTGAAACCTACCAGAGACTTTATGTGATAAAACAGCTGCTCTTTCTGATGTCTGACTGCCTGATAGAGCTCCTGCACCTGCTCATCCACTGTTCCTACCTTCTCTCACTCTTCTTTCCCTTATTTTTTGTCATACTCACCCCTCTTCTGTGACAACTCATTGAAAACACTTAATGAAGCTGGAGATGGCTGAATTAATTTGGATCTTGCAAGGAATTTAATGTAATCTCATATTTTGTCCTATTTCTTTCTTTCCGATTTTTTTTAAATTATTTTCAGTGTGTTTTATAAGAGCTTCAGTGTAAGAACTGTGGCATTTTTATGTTTTTAAATTATCTAGGACTAACTTGATTATGGTTCACATT